TAAATTATTTCATTATGCATGGAAGAGTTATTCATGGAGGGCATGGTCTGAGAGACCTCAATGGTGGATCATTTAGAATAGTCTAGTCTGAGAGCCACAAAACCACCTACAGCAGTTACTTTGAAACTTTGAGCTGTCCATTTTGTGCTGTTTCCTCATTAACTAATGGTAGTCACATTGCTTCTGTTCCATATGAATGGTAGTTGCTTTCAAAAGGCCTCTAGAGATTCTTTTAGAATAGGATTTGCAGTTAGGAGTCTTTGGACTAACATAGGATTTCACTTACCCCTAGGGGTTCCCACATTCTGCAAATATGTAATGCCTTCAGCAGTATGAGCTTCTGGCTACAGAACTGGGTGCCCAAGCCTAGAAATTAAAAGTTCCTTAAAACTTGCAAATAGGTTTAGAGGATTCTCGGAGATTATCAAACTTGGAAAAGTAGCATCTAGAGAAAAGGACAAAAGAGCCTAGATTCACTTAAAGATGAGAGACTCTAATATGAAGAACTGTTGTTTTGAGTAGTTCACAAAACAATTTATTGGAGTTCAGAAAGACAGCACAGAGACATCAACATATTTATTTTAAATTTCTGTGTCAGAGTATTGTAATGTATATGTATTATAATGTATCTATAATGTAATGTATAAAGTATATATACACAGTAGTACATATATATAACCTATAAATACATATACATATATGGGGGCCCATTCTCAAAAGTTTTCTTTTATTACAGATAAGAATGTGTGAGTAAAAATTTGATTTAGAGGATTAAGTACATCTCTTTATCAGAAGTGTGTTTTAGGGTGTTTGTAGGGGGCAGGACTAGTTTAAGTAGAGGTGCAAGGGATTCAGTTAGATCCATTCATTTTATTTTAAAAGAACAATAATTGATGATATAACCTTCATTCATATTAAACAAATTCATATCAAACAAATTATGACTGTTTAGATTTTCCATCATATCCTCAGGGCCTGTCAGAAACATTGACCTAGGCCCTGAGGATATGATGGAAAATCTAAACAGTCATAATCCTGGACTTTATGGTAAAACATAGTTTAGTGGAGGAAGGTAGTTGTCAAATAATCATACATTTAAATATCTCATCGTAAATGGATACATATTATGAAGGAAAAGTACAGCAGGCTGGCTATATGGGCCACCAGAAATCAGGGCACTTTCTCTTATTCTGGGGTTATTGAGAAAGGTTACCTTAAGGAAGTGACAGTTAACCTGGGGCCTGTGAGATTGAGTGGTTGACTTGTGAAGAGCTAGAGAGTGGCCCAGATGCAGGGAGAGCGTATGTAAGAGCCCTGAGGGGGGCACATGGTGAGTGAGGGGCAGTGCCATATAGGCACAGGTTCTCATACATCGGGGAAGCTTCGGAGATGGATCTGCCTGAGAGTCGGAGCGCAAGCTAAATGACCCCAGGAGCTCTTTTGGTTTCAGGGGGAAAAAATCACAAACTAGTTGGAGGTACCAGAGGGCCACAGGAGACAAAAAGGGACTGGCTGGGTGGCTAAGCACAATTGGAACACTGCATTCTGCCCCAGCAACATGTCCAGAAACCTCAGGTAATACTCCCTGTGTGGCCATCTAGAAAGGTAACTGTTAAGATTAAAGGGCAGTGTGTTTTCCAGGCCTGAGCTATCAATGTGAACCTTTCTGTTTGGATTGCCAAGAGAATTTCATGAGCAGTGCCAAGCTAGAGGGCCTAGTAATGCGTTGTGATCATGGGTTTCCCTGAGTTATTTGAAACCAGAGGGTGTATGTGCTATCCTCTGCAAAAGTAGAGGGTTTGGAAGAAAGGTAAATGTGAGGTAAGTTGAAGGATAATTGCAGGAAATGGGGCGTGGCCCGGGCAGCAGAGGAGCTAAATGGGAGAGCAATAGTTGACGGTCCATTGTCATTGTGCCTACTAATCGGCGAGGAGAGGAGAGGACAAGGGAGGCCAGGGTTGGACCCTGCGCATGAAGGAAGAGCGAGCGAGCCAGGGAGCGCTCTTGACACGGGAGGGCAGGAGGCCGCTACGCCGGGTCTCCTGCTCCAAGAAAGGGGCACAAGGAGGCGGCGCGGGCCCCGCCCCCTCCCCTGGCGGGCGCGGGCGCGAGACGCTGCGCGGCGGCGGTGGCGGGCGCGAGCGGCAGCTGTCAGGCCACTGAGGTCCAAGCTGCTCTTGCTGCCCCACCGAGGACGAGGAGGCAGCAGGAGCGGTGACCGTGTCACTGAGGAGCCGGACTGCCGGCACGCAGAGCTGACCTGCCTGGCACCCGCGGCGCCCCCCCACCATCTCTCTCCCATTGTATTGGGTAAGGTGCGGGTGCGTGGGCAGGGAGAGGGGCTAGCGGCCAGTGGACGCGGGCGGCCGGGAGGTGGGGGTGGCCTGTGGGAAGAGGAAAAAGGGAGGTCTAGGTGATCCCCCGGGACATTTGCACCTTGGGAAAGAGGCCTAGGCACTGCAGGGGTCGGAGTTGGGGGGGAAGGTGACGATGGAGGGGGGCGTTGCTGAGTAATTCGGAGCGGCTGGCAAAGCCCCGCAGACAGACGCAGGGCTCCGTGGGGAACGGGTGTGGCTCAGTGCGCATGCGCCACAGCCCCTCGTTCTGAGAGATGGGGATGAGGTGAGATGACCCGGGTCCGAGGTAGTTGGAACTGTGCGTAACATCTCACTTTCTAGATCCCCAATGCCAACAGTGACCCTGTCGTAGAGATAACAAGGAAGATTCTTTCCCCTATACTCTGCTCGCTTAATGTCACCCAAACCTCACCTACCTGTCTCCTGGCAGTCTACTTGGGAAGAAGTGGCCTGAGGACAAGGCCAAATTGCTATCTAGTGTGCCTTCGGGCTTATAGCCCTAGAGCTGTTGTTGTGAGGAGTGAAGGGTTAGAGGTGAAATTCCACATTGAACCCTTCTGGTTGCATATAGGATATAAATATGGTCATAAATGTGGGAATAGTGTTTCAGTGGCATGACAGCTGTAGCATTTGGACTCAGAGCAGGAATGTAGCTGATAACTTGATTGCTCTACACAATGAATCCAGTGTGTCAGACAGCTTCCCCGCTACAGAACCCTCCCCCACCCCCACCAACAAGCATCAGGTTGTACTGGAAACAACCTACACCATTTAAGGTAGAGGGTCTCAAAGATGCAATCATTTCTTATTTGTATTGATTTTTACCTAAGTTAAGGAAAGCCCTGCCCAGTTTTCCAGTGCAGTATTTTCCAAATACTGTGCCAGGAATCAACAGTGAGTTGGGTGGCCCAACCAGTGTGTCACCAAGATGGGTTTTCCCTGTAGCTTCAACCATGGCTCCACCTCTGTGCAGATTACCACCAGGGCCACTCTCATCCACTACCTAACTCTCCCCTGCTGCTCTTCCCCTACCCTCAGCCCTGCAGTACCACATCCCTGTCAACACATGCTCCCAAACTGCACGTTGGATTTGAGCATCATTCCGCCCATGGCAACCAAACTGATGTTGCCAGTTTGCTTTTCTATTTCTCGTCTATCCATCATCACACTGAAATGTTCTGTTTTCAAAGGTTCACCCTCTTTCTCGTCATTGTACTGCTTCTTTCCACACTCACACCCTAAGCATCCCCAGCTAAATACAATAATTTTAATAAGCTGTGTGGGTGCGGGCACAGCAGATTCAAAAGGTTTCAAGTGTGTTGAAGAACAAAGAAAACTAGGGAGCATCGGTTATGTGAATTTCTAATTTACCTTATTGTCTGAGACTTAGACTCTGGGGGGAAAAAAGTGAATATACTATTCTTAGAGAATTATTGTTAATTGTGGAGAGTGGGGTAAGAAAGGAGAATTGCATCTCCGGGATATTTGAGTTGTTCAGAGGCAGATCTGTCTCTGAATAGGACCAAAATCAGATTAAACATTTTAGTCAAAATCCTAAGCTGATATGGGACCCATACAGGATGCATAAGGGATTTGACTTTCCTGTTAAATGTACTTCGGTTTATCAAAGAATTCCATTGCCTCCTTAATGCTATCTTCTTTTAAGGTTTGACTTTAATCTGGCATATTCTGGAGGAGTAAAAAGTTTTGGTTTACTTTTATACTGTGCTAGTCCTTTTTGAGTATGTACTAAAGGATATCACACTTATTTTCAAATGATGATAATGATAATGATGATGGTCGGGACTCCAGCCTCCACTGAAAACATAATGTGGAGATAATTATACCGCTCTGACATTTGGTGGGTATCGAGAAATTTATATATTTCTCTTAAAAACGGGGGGACGGGAGAGGGAAACTAGAGCATTGCCACTGGCTTTCAACAGGTGAAATCCCTGGTAAGTCTCATCTAGAAAGTGATGCAGATAAGTCCGTAACTTCTGCTCTTTAGTCACAAATAAATAATAGTATTTGGACATCTTACAGAACTGCAGATCTCTTGTACCTTGGCATCAATTCAGAGGCATTAGTTCTGAGCACCCACCTAAACATTTAACTAATAAGTGAATATTATTGATTATCCATATGAAGGATATGCTTGCTGCATGGATGGAGGGGCTTCAAAGACTTACAAACAAGGGTTTTACCATCCAGGAATTTAAATTTTGGTTGTGTAGGAAGGACATACTTAGAAAAAAAAAGATTTTTAAACTAAATAAGGCAATATAATGATACCATTTCAACTGTAAATCATGAGATCTGAAGCTTATATGTTAATTCATAAATTCCTTGAGGGTAGGACCTTGCTTTAAAAATGTGTGCATTTCCAACAGTGTCTACACCCAATGGGTGCTCAAGTGATAATCTTTGCAAAGTAGGTAGGGAGAAACCAGAGGCAGGGAGAGAAGAGCCAGGAAGTTTTCACAATAGATTAGATGCAAGGAGATGTGGGCCAAAGTGAGGATGGTAGCAGAGGACCAGGAAAGAATATTCCAAGGAAAAATCCACAGGATTTAGTGACTGAAGACAAGGAGACATGTCTAAACTGTATTCAATTCTACCTTCAGGAGACAAATGGGAGTTGGAGACAGTGGAGAACAGAGGGTTACCTTAGTAAGGACAGAGCACGCAATAGGCATTAAAATGTTTTCTCAATCATCAGTAGCAGGATTGGACCAGAAGACCCTTAGGGTCCCCCCAACACTAAGATTCTGTGGTATATGCAGATACTCAAAATTGTTAGGGAACAAGGCCTTCTCAGATATTGAAGGAAGAGGAAAGGAAGAATTGTGATCTTCCTACTGGCAGGCCTTTTCTGAGGAGGGTTCATACTGAGTCACAAGGCCCCCAACAGTGAATGACAGGAGGTAAAGGAGCAAGAGGAACAAAAATCTGAAACCCCAAATTTCAATACATGCTTACAAATTTTTGCAAACTTCCTAAGTTATTCATCCCCCCCCAAATCCTGTGAGTTAAGTAGGGCAGGTATTATCAGTTCTGTATTTGTATAGGAAGATATTGAAACAAAGCAAGATTAAATAACCTGCTCAGGTTCATAAAATAAATGAATGGCATAGTAGTGATGAAGACTTTTGTCTCCTGATTGCTGCCAACCCAGTGCACTTCACACGGAGCCACACTGCTTTTCCTCCCTTTTCCCTGGTATAGAGCCTATGTACCCAGAAGTTGTATGTGCAAACAACCAAATAGGGAATGCACAAGCAACTGCAGCATTATCTCAGATGGTTATTAATACTTCATCATTATTCCTGGAGTTGAGTATTTGGTTTCCACATTTGAGTCCTTGACCATCATTTGAGTTTATCCACAGCTGGGAAAGGAGTGTTAGTGAATTGTTTAATGATGTGAACACCTGTTTGCTAGGAACTTGAAGAAGCTCATTTGGCACGGGCCCTTAATACTACCAGTACTGTTACCCAAGTTTGTACTTCCTCTGTTCCTTTTTTAAGTGAGCAGTCTGTAAAATTATCCTACAGACCCATATAAAGGATAAAGAAGTGTGCTAATGCTTGTTTCATTTCCATTTAAAGAAACGTTTGTTACTTGAACTAGTTCCAAAGAAAGCAATTTGAGAGCAGGAAAAAAGAGGACAAAAATCAGTAATGGTAGAAAACTTGAAAAATTTTTAGAGTAGATATAGACCAAGAAGGAAGATAAAGCCTATCAATTTAGAAGACACTATTTAAATTCATAATTACTGATTTAGGTCTCTGATGAATTCCTTATTATATGCTTTATATTTGAAAAAAATAACATGAGATTATTAGGCAATAGAGATTTCTTACACTCTTCTTTATTCTTAAGAAAGAATACTCAACAAATCTAAGAACTGTTTTTCTCTTGAGACCAGCACTCTTGATGCTGCTTAAATAACACTCTTGCCATAATTAACTATAATGTTAAGTGAAGTTGTGTTTGAATTTAATAAAGCCAGCTAAATACTAAAACCTGTGTTCAAGACAGATGATCAAAATTAATTAGTAAAATAGCCAAGAGAATATATTGTAAACAGGGAATCTCCAAACATTATTATTTCTTCTCTGATCTTGTGGAATCAATTTCAGAGACAGTCTCGAGGCAGATTGGTGAATGCATTAATAACTTTCTTGGAGTTGGGAACATTGGTAGACATAAAGGGAAGGAGTTTCATCTCTGACTTAGGATTTTGACATGTCTTAGACGACTCCTCTGTGCTTTCCCTTTCCTGAATATCATCTACTTCCTTTGATTTACCTTTACTTTGAATGAAGAGTTCAGTGGAGGACAATATAAAACTCTAAAAGCCATATGAAGTACACTCATTAGGACAAGTTAAAGTTTTTGCAATAATATTATTTTGTCCATGTTAAGCATTTGTAGCATTTTGAACTCTTAAGTATATTTGTGAAAAGCATCCTCTACAGGTAAGTTGAGGTGGGTCTGTTTCTTTCCTGACTTGAGTATATTTATATATAGCCTTAACTTTGTTTTATTATATATTTTTAAAAATGTTCCCCAATCCATTTTCTAGAACCCTAAAAAGAAAGAATAAAACAACAACAAGGAAAAGAGAAGACTAAAATTGTGGCAAAGACCCAACTGTGTAGGTATATATATATTTTCATTTGATCTCTTAAAAAGGAATATTTAGAAAAATATATAATTATTACACATGCACCCACATAATACTAAGGACTAATGAGGCTTTTTAAAATTACATTCCAAATGTGTGTGCCTCCAGAAGCTCTTTTGCATGTGCTCTTTTGATTAGAAATTGGTTTTCATCTCTTTGGGTCTCTTGCATAAATAACACCCAGTTAACATCATCATTGTTTTGTTCCCACAATGGACCAAGTGTGAAAGTATTTACCAAAATCTAGTACTGGTTAGTTGTTCAGTAAACGTTTGATCTTTTTATTGTAAGATGCATTCTAGATATTCCATGTACAGACATGTTGTGGAGGTACCAAGAAAGGTACTACATTGTTATTAGCACTTTAAAGTTTACAGTCTATTTTCATTAGTGCCATTATGGAATTAGAACCTAAATCTAAAAATTAATAAGCTATTCAAGATTTTCTTCCTAAATGATAGCTGTTATAATGATCCCAGTCAACAATCATCAATTTACATGTCATTGTTCCATGAAGAAAAGATTATGGAAGATCCTTTATTTGTGAGGGTATCTGTATCAATGCAAGTATAATGAGGCAGATGCCTGAAGAAACTTGACCTTTATCTCTCTTCCAAGTTCTGGGGTCCAGTCTAATTGTAGCCCCAAATTCTACTGATGTAATTAAAATTTCAGCTCTACAGCTTTCTCTCCTCAATAATTCTTGGGTCCGTCATGAACAGGCTTCAAACTCCAAATCAATTTTGTACTATTTGCCTCTTGTTTGGAACTGTCAAACTGGAAACTCATAACATGGTTACACATCTGAGTGGTATTCCTGTTCTAGGCTCTCTCCCCTAGAACAGGGTCAGAACTGAACCAAATTATAGCACCATCTGCTAGTCCATTTGCCCATGGCATTCAGCCATTTTCCTGGCACAGGCGGAAGACCTCAGAAAAACAAGACCTATTTTTCCTTGTATGCAAAAGGATTCTATTCCTTCTGCTGTACTATATAGTTAATGACCGTGAATCAAGAGAGGTTAAATGAGTAGGCCATATAATTCAGAGAAATTTACTATGAAGTTAATTTCAGTTTCAGGTTTAACTGTTTTCCCTCCTACTTTTTCTTTTATTTTCAGGTTCTCCTGGTTATAAACTCCTCCCCAACTGGTGCTGCAACAATGAGTGGGAAATCCTTGCTCTTAAAGGTTATTCTCTTGGGTGATGGTGGAGTTGGGAAAAGCTCGCTTATGAACCGTTATGTAACCAATAAGTTTGACTCCCAGGCTTTTCACACCATAGGGGTAGAGTTCTTAAATCGAGATCTGGAGGTAGATGGACGTTTTGTAACTCTCCAGATCTGGGACACTGCAGGGCAGGAACGTTTCAAGAGCCTTAGGACACCCTTCTACAGGGGAGCAGACTGCTGCCTCTTGACCTTCAGCGTGGATGACCGGCAGAGCTTTGAGAACCTTGGTAACTGGCAGAAAGAATTCATCTACTATGCAGATGTGAAAGACCCTGAGCACTTCCCCTTTGTAGTTCTGGGTAACAAGGTAGACAAAGAGGATAGGCAAGTGACTACTGAGGAGGCACAAGCCTGGTGCATGGAGAATGGGGATTACCCTTATCTAGAAACAAGTGCCAAAGATGATACTAACGTGACAGTGGCCTTTGAAGAAGCTGTCAGGCAGGTGTTGGCTGTAGAGGAACAGCTGGAGCATTGCATGTTAGGTCACACTATTGACTTGAATAGTGGCTCCAAAGCAGGATCCTCATGCTGTTAAAAGCAGGAAGCCTTATAAAAGTGTGCCCCAAATTGTTCAGTCAATAGTGTCAGAATAACTGTGCCCCTCTAAGAGGGCACACACACAAAAGGGTAAGAGAGAAGGTTGTGATTGTTTATCAGAGCCTTTCAAATTGAGGTTGTAGAGCGATTAAAAAAAAAAAGCTTTATCAAGCCAAGTGTATTTTGCGTGATTTCTGCTCTTTCCTTCTTGTGTGTATCAGGACTTTTCAGAAAGCTTCAGTCCTGAGAGATTTAAATATTTTCAAATCACAGTTTAAACTTAGAACCCAGCAGCATGAAGGAGTTAAAGAGCTACAGCTATCCCTAAAAGTGTTCCATTAGTCAACTAACAAATGTCACCGTGGACTCTTGGCAATCAGTTTCTGATATTTCTGCCAAAGGAAGAAAAAATAAGACTCTGAGCTGTATTACAATAAAAAAATAATGCAAACAAGGATGTCCTAAGCTTCAATTATAAAGAGGTTGTGATCATTAGGTATATAACAGTACAGTGATGTACACTGCCTTGTTTGAATCCTCATATAAAGGTTTGCTCCCATTTGAGCTTTTCAAAAAATATCTCAATAAGAGATACACTGATGACACTGGAAATTGATTATACTCTTCGTGTTTGAAGTAACAGGGTACTAGTGAATGGATTATGCTTAAATAGCCAACCGCCCATGCAAATAAATGGTTGGTCTGCTTTTACTTAGTAAGTCTACTTTTGCTGCATAGGGATGTTGCTTCTCTGACAACCTCTTATCAATTTAGCAATGCTGCTTAGTATATGGCTTTGGATGCAGTGCTCTCTGCTCATAGTTTTGAGGGTCCTTTGGTCCACTGTGCTCTGCTCTCAGAGAACCCTTCAGAAAAGATTGGGGGATAACGGGCTTTTCTCACAAGGTTCCTTAACTCAAATATTTATTATAGAAGGAACTAATATCTTGTATGTTGCACTGTATGTTCAGCTGGCCAAACTAGGACACTGAAAGTAACAAGAGAGCAGACTTTAACCCAGTGGTAGACTGAATTTCTCATAGAGTTGTCCAACAGTGGAATGGACTGCCTTAATAATGAACTCCCTTCCAATGAAAATATTCAAGAAGATACTAGATGACCATCTGTTAAAATACCATAAAAAAGAATTTCTGTCCTGGCTAGATATTTGGTTTCAGGTCCCTTCCAGCTCTAAGTTCTATGAATCTGCAAGGTACAAACTGTTTCAGTGCCATGTTATCATTAGATGTTTCTTAAGACAACAGCTAAGAGGGACTTTGGAGTCCCTCTGGAGAGGGACTTTTAAAATTCTCAAACTATTCTGGGATCAGCATTTAACGGCAACTACACAGCTCTTTCTTTGGCACCACAGCAGGAGAAATTCTCGAGTTCTGAGTAGTTATTATGTGCCCTGATATAAATATCCTAAAAATACCCTATTAAAATACAAGAACGGTTTGTCAAATTTTGATTACCATGACTGCTAGCTATATACTGTATTACAAATATGCAGTCTAGTTCTTGTTGGTTGATCTATTTGTCCTGCAAAGCTTTTAATCTGTACTTTTAAAACATCTATGTTAAAAAAAATAGTGACCCAAGGTAGAGGGACAGTTAGAAGTGACCCCCCCAAAAGAGATGGAGGCCGGGGAGGAAGCAGGAGCTTATAGCCTAGGGAATATAGCCTAGAACTCTCCATTGTAGCCACATATGGAATCAGCCTTACATGTGGGACCTTATGTGCTTTAAGAGCTCTGGGACTTTTTGGCTACATAGACAAGTGGAAGACGGTAGCTCAACCCAGTCATACTCAATATTTCCCATTTAAATAGAGTCCTGACCCCATTGTCAAAGTAATTTTGATGCCAGAAGTCGAAGCCAGAACTGGGACCCCACAGCTCTTAAGTATTGGTCCCTATCCTGCCTATGCCTATAGCCAGCCACACTGGCTTCCAAGTTCTACGATTGTTTTCCTACAGTCATGTTAGGGTGAAAATCTGTACATCAGAACTGTTAAATGCTAATTGTTTTTAAGTGCATGAGACCTGGGGCCTTCTCTTTCTACTTGCACTCTGCTTATAATAGTTTCTATTTGTAGATCTCAGGCTTACATAAAGACCTCCATCCACTCACAAAAGTACTTGTCACTATTAGAATGGCATGTGGTCATTTAAGTAAAAAAATGATGTGGGTATCCTATTCATAGACCTCCTGTCTAACCGAGGCAAGTGTTAATTTTATTGACAGGTCATCTGAAGCCCCTTTCCTCTTAGCCATACCAGTTTTCTCCTGCCAAATCACTACACAGTATCGTAATAAAAGCAGTTAACATTAAATGACAAAAACAGTGGCATTTTGGTGAGTAACACTCACTGGGGTGCTGACACAAGTTTGGGTAAGATTATAAAACACCAAAGGCTGAAATCTGTGGGTACCAGGAACTGTGCATATAGGTTTAGAAATTGTATACACTAGGATGTGCAGTGCAATATTTTCAGAAAGTTTTTTTTAACAAACTGGATTTTTTTGAATAAGATATTTCTAATTAGCACTATACTGTTTTTCAATAGTCCATTAAAACATCATAAAGAATATTTATTTAGTTTATTGTCATGTATTGGGCTAAATTCAGGGGGCCTCAGATTCCATATGTCTTCAGTGGATTGATGAATTTCAGGTTAATTTGTGCCTGCCTCAGCCATCTCTACTTTACCTTGAGGTATTCCACGATCCTCTCGTTGCAGGTGCTGCTAAAAACTCAAAATTGTGTATCAGATATTTTGTTTCAACTGTAAAAAAAAAATCCTCTGTGTTAAAGTGAATAAAAAGTGCATTTTGAATAACCAGTATACAGTGTTTGTGCTTCTTCTCTCCCTTTCTCTTTTTGAGCAACTGGTGGGTGTGACAGACGGTACTTACCAATCAAATCACTCTTCGAGACTGCACTGCATGTGGCCTCTGGATCATGTTTTCACCGTGGTACCCCAAGCAGCCACAACCTAATGATCAGAGAGATAGGTTCTACTGATTGGGAAACAAACTCAAAAGATTAAGGTGGGGAGGTTCCTTTTATTTTATGTCACTTTTTAATGTATGAAGAACACTGAGACTGGAAATTGGATCTTGACTCTCCACTTCTTCATTATAATTTATATTTTTCTTTGTTAATATGTTTTATTAAAAATGTCTTTTTTATTATGTTAATCACCATACATTACATCATTAGTTTTTGATGTAGTGTTCTACGATTCATTGTTTGCGCATAACACCCAGTGCTCCATGCAGAACGTGCCCTCTTTAATACCCATCACCAGGCTAACCCATCCCCCCACCCCCCTCCCCTCTAGAACCCTCAGTTTGTTTCTCAGAGTCCATAGTCTCTCATGGTTCGTCTCCCCCTCCGATTTCCCCCCCTTCATTTTTCCCTTCCTACTATCTTCTTTTTTTTAAACATATAAGTATTATTTGTTTACTTCTTCATTATAATTTAAAACAAATGTTAAACCATCACAAAATATAAACAGAATATACATATTCCTTTTATCTTCCTGGCTGATATGCTGTCCAGATCTTAGGAAAACATGAAAACATGGGTGAAACAAATCAGAAAACAAAGGATGATTTTGTTAAATAACTCTGTTCTCTTGCTTATCACATACTGGACTTTAAAGATACTTGCATTAGCATCAAATGGCTTGAACATCCATAGTGGTGACTTTTAAATTATGGGCACAGGTCTTTCTGCAGCATGTAACTTCATTACATTGATTTCATCTGTCACAGATTAAAACTTCTCCCACTCCTCTACTTTAGCTTATCGGGACTCTAGGCAATTAAAATCACAGGGGAGGGAAGAACAGATTTTTTTTTTGCCACATGTACTGTTTCCATCTCTGAGGATAATTATTTAACAAATTATCAGACCATGCTTCAAATACAGCACCTGAAATCCTTTTGATTAGGCTACAATGATGCAGCTTTTAGGCTATAGAAGATCAGAGATTTATAAGCCTCTTAAAAATGATTTGCTCATCCCAAACTGGTATTTTGAAAGCAGAAAACTAACTTTCTGTCTTTGCTGTTTTTCTGCTTGATTCATAATCCACTGGGAAATCTCCTTCTCTGGATGTCTTAAATAGTATAGCTCCTCATTTTTTGGAAATAGTTTGGCTATGATCCTTCCAGGAAGTGGAAGGTGTGGAATAGATGGGTTTCTCTTCAATTCTATAATTGAATTTTAAAACACACTGGGAAATCAAGACAGCTATTTGAGTAAGGTCAGGATGGGAGTTGCGGTGGGCATCTCTACTTTCATTTAATTACCTGCAATAGTTCTAATTGCGACAATTTTTTTTTTTTTTTTTGCCCCAGTGATCCTGATAAGCATTTCACTTTTTTTCTCTCCTTGCTATGGAGATGTAGGATTCATTACAGTGGAGTACTTTTTTTACACTTGATTTAAGGGCAGGTACACTGTGATACAACTTTTGATAAAATGTTAGTATATATTTTCCAAACTGGTCTTTTTGGGGCATCTGGGTGGCTCAGTCTGTTAAGCGTCTGCCTTTGGCTCAGGTCATGATCTCAGGGTCCTGAGATTGAGACCCCCCCACCTCAGCTGGGCTCCCTGCTCAGCAAGGAGTCTGCTCTCCCTCCCCCTCTGCTCCTCCCCACCCACCCCGCTCATGTGCTCTCTCTCGCAAATAAATAAATAAAATCTCACAATTAAAACTGGTCTTTTTTTCCTCCTGCTTTTTCTGAAGTATAATTGACCAATAAAAAGTACATATATCTATCCAAAGGATACAAACATAGTGATTCAAAGAGGCACCTGCACCCCAATGTTTATAGCAACAATGTCTACAATAGCCAAAATATGGAAAGAGCCCAGATGTCCATCAACAGATGAGTGGATAAGGAAGATGTGGTGTATATACACACACATACACACACACACACACACACACACACACACACACAATGGAATATTACTCAGCCATCAAAAAGAATGAAATCTTGCCATTTGCAACAATGTGAATGGAACTAGAGAGTAATATACTAAGCAAAATAAATCAGCCAGAGAAAGACAAATATCATATGATTTCACTCATATGTGAAATTTAAGAAACAAAACAGATGATCATAGGGGAAGGGAAGGAAAAATAAGATGAAATCAGAGAGGGAGACAAACCCTAAAAGACTCTTAACTCTAGGGAAAAAACTGAGGGTTGCTGGAGGGGAGTTGGGGGGATGGGGTAACTGGGTGATGGACATTAAGGAGGGCACTTGATGTAATGAGCACTAGGTGTCATACAGAACTGATGAATCACTAAACTCTACCTCTGAAACTAATAATACACTATATGTTAATTAAATTTATTTTAAATTTTAAAAAATTGTA